TGACCATTCACTGTGAACCTTTCTGGTGCCCTGCTATGAATGGTCATTTGCAAATGAAACTAGAAACAGTTCCCTGTCTTGGTTACAGAACCCTGAGAACACAGCCCTGACTCAATCTGACTGCATGCAAGGGCTTGTTTCCACATCGGCTGTGGTACAACTGCATCGTAACTGCAATAGGCAGGAAGGCAGCAGCTTTGAAAAGATGGTGGTGCATGTGTAATATTGCCCTGTTGTTAAAAATGAGATCAACTGAGCGGCATTGTGATCCAATACAATTATTCCAGTTCACTGGACCTCTTCATGATTTGCAAGATCGTTGGAGTATTTTCAAAAGAACAGAAGCATTTTACGTAAATTCAGTAAACTATGCCAACTGCCAAGGAGCATTTATGACATGACTTGAACTATGCTTACACTATTTATCTCGTCCACACCAATGACATCTAAATTGTAGTGGTGGTGAGATGGTTATATTTCTAAAGCCCTGTCAAAGGAGGTTTTTCTTGTATAAAATATGTATGTGATGTGCACAGAAGAAATCCTCTGTTTCATTAAAATATGCACAAAATAGGAAGCTTTGAGGATGTTGTGCCACCTTGTTTTTGGTAAACTTGGTAGAAATCTGCACGTAGAATTTGAGGTTAATACATAAGTGAGGGAGAACAGCCTCAAATACTTGAAGAAACTGAATCAATCCCCTAGAGTTTAATCTTGCATTTATTACTTATTTAAATAGCATCATACTTGTTAAGTGACTATTATCTGTCAGACCCTAGTTTGGGCATGGAAGACAGCATCCCTGCCCTCAACTTGTTCAAAGTCTGGTAGAAGGTAAAGATAATTAAGAATCCTAATACAGCATATTAAGTGCTACAATACAAGTAAGCCCCTCGTCCTCTGAGTGCACATCAAAGGGAATTCACCTGGTCTAATAGAAACAGAGACATTTTCCCCTGGGAAAGGGAGTAGGAGCAGAATGAAGAGAAGCCATTGGAAGTAGAGGGAAGAATGCATCCAGAGGCATAGAGGCACAGGTGAATGTGTGGTCAAAATATAGGATGAAGACAGAGGACTGGTGGGCGGGGGAGAGGAAGAGGCAGGCAGAGGAGGTGTAAGCTAAATCATTTATGCTTTCCTTCATCAGATTGGCATGGTATTTGGGCTGTGTGCCAAGCAATGAGTTATGTTAGGCACTGGTTCTTCTCCAACTTGCTGGCCGTTCCTTCCCAGTTCTCTTTCCTGGCTCCTCCTGTTGTATCCAGAACGTTTTCTCCTTTGCCATCTCGTTCAGTCCTGAGGATTTAAATATCACCTATACGGTGGCTCTTAATCTTATTTTTCAACCTTGACCTCTCTCTCTGGAGATCCAAAATTGAATATCCTAATGCCTAATATATTGTCATTCGGGTGTCTTATCCATCATGTGCTTAACAAATCTGAAACCGAACACTCAATTCCCATTCTAAACCAGTCTCCACCCTAGTTCAGTAATGGCGCCACAGTCTGCTCAGACCAGAGTCCTGGATGATGCTTCGACTCTCCCTATAGCCTCCCAACCACTCCAGCAGGAGGTTCTGTTGGAAAGATTTCAAAACTAACAGAATCCAACTATGTCTATCAACCCCTTGCCCACAGCTAACTCCACAGCATCTCTGACCTGGACCACTGCCACAGTTTGTCTCCCAGCCTCTAGTCTTACTCCCTCAGAGTCGACGCACACCACAGCCCTCCAAGTTCTCTTCTCAAAGAGTACATCAGGTCCTATTAGCTCCCTGTTTAAAGTCTGCCAAGAGTTTTTTGTTTTGTTTTGAGTTGGGGTCTTAGTCGCCCAGACTGGAGTGCAGTGGCCGCTCCCGGCCACCACAGCCTCGACCTGCTGGGCTCTGGCGATCCTTCCACCTCAGCCTTCCAAGGAGCTGGAACTACAGGTGCGTGCTACCACACCCGGTTAATTTTTGATTTACTGTGGAGATGAGGCCTTGCCAAGTTACCCGGGCGGGTCTCCAACCCACGGGCTCAGGCAATCCACTCACCTCAGCTTCCCAAAGCGCGGGATTACAGGCTGAGCCACCGAGCCCGACTGCCAATGGTTTTTAATCACAAATAAAATAAGATCTGAAGGTTTTACTTATGGCCCTCATGTCCTGATCTGGCCCTGTTATCATTCCCTCTTATCCCTCCTCCCCACCCTACAGGACACTCCATCCACATTGGCCTTTCTGTTACCTCTTCCCTCCAGGCTCATTCCCTTCTCTGTATCTCCTACCTGGAATGCTCCTGCCCAGGTTATCTAGGTCTCAGCTAAAGTGTAACCTCTTTTGAGAAGTCTTCTTTGATCACCTTTTATAAAATAAAACTTCCGGCCGAGCTCGGTGGCTCAGCCTGTAATCCCAGCACTTTGGGAGGCCAAGGTGAGTAGATTGCCTGAACCTGCGGGTTCTAGACTTACCCCGGCAACTTGATGAGACCTCATCTCTATAATAAATCAAAAATTAGCCAGGCGTGGTAATGCGTGCCTGTAGTTCCGGCTACTTGGAAGGCTGAGGCACAAGGATTGCCAGAGCCCAGCAGGTCGAGGCTGCAGTGGCCAGAAATGTGCCACTGCACTCCAGCCAGGGCGACAGAGTGAGACTCCAATTCAAAAAATAAATAAATAAATAAACTAAAACTTCCATGATTATCCTAGTGATTATTTCTTTACAATGTTAATAGCTATCTGAAATTATATTATTCAATTATTTATATGTTTTTATTATTATATCCTTCCCCTAGACTGGAAACACCATAAGAGCAGACAGGCATGTCTTCTTTCATGTTTTATCTCCACTCCCTAGAGTGGTGCATAAACATATAATCACAAACTGTGCTCAGTGAAAACAAAGGAAAAGTACAGAAGTTATGTGAGTCTATATGGCATCCAAAAGTAGAACTCAGACTTCTGTGACTGCATCCAAAGAATCCTTTTTTTTTTCTCAATATAAGAAATTGGAAAACACCTCTTATCAACAGAGTGCCTGAATGAAACGTAATTGTACACCTAACCCTTAACTGTACCCCACAAAACCATAATAAAAAATATTGATTAATTTTAAAAAAAAAGAAATTGGCCCAGTACCTACAGTTGGTTAAGAGTTAATAGTCTGACACTCAGTTGGACATTCCTGGCCTATTTTCTTTGGGAAAATTTGACCAAGTGGTGGTGTTTATTAATTTGGGATATAACAGTTAAGTTTGCAAAAGCCTGACGCAGAAGTGATTCTCACTCGTTTTTTTTTTTTTCTTTTAAAGATGTGGGGTACAATTCAGGGTGAGGTATACAAATATTCATTATGCAGGTACCCTTGTTGATGAGGTGTGTCCCTCCCTCCCCTGGCAGTTTCCCTCAACTGCCAATTCCAACCCCCCTCCCCTGGCAGTTTCCCACTAGTGCCAATCCTTTTCTTATAGTATTATGATAATTGCTCAAGGTTCACTTATGAGTGAAAACATATGGTACTCTGTTCTTTGTTTCTGTGATAGATCACTGAGTATGAGTGACTCTAAATCCATCCAAGTTGCTGCGAAGTTCATATGTTTCTCCTTCTTTATGGATGCATAATATTCCATTGTGTATATGTACCTCATTTTTTTTATCCAGTCTGGCTTCAATGGGCAGCATGGTTGGCTCCATGTTTTTGCTATTATGAGTAGAGCTGCAATAAACATGCGTATGCAGGTAACTTTTTTTGTAGAATGATTTGAGTTCCTCCGGGTATATTCCCAATATGGGGATTACTGGGTCATATGGAAGGTCAATTTCTAGTTCTTTCAGAAATCACCACACTGTCTTCCAAAAAGGTTGCAGTAGTTTGCATTCCTACCAGCAGTATAGAAGCATTCCTTTTTCTCTGCATCCTCGCCAGCATCTGTTGTTGTTTATTAATGATGGCTATTCTTACCGGGGTTAGGTGGTATCTCAGTGTGGTTTTAATTTGCATTTCTCTGATGATGAGTGAGACTGAGCACTTTTTCATGTGTCTGTTGGCTGCCCATATATCTTCTTTTGAGAAGTGTCTATTCATGTCTTTTGCCCACTTTTTAATGAGGCTGTTTGATTTTTTTTCTTTTAAAGTGCATTTGAGTTCCTTGTTGATCCTAAATGTTAGGCCTTTGTCAGATACACAGTTGGTAAATATTTTTCCCCATTCTGTGGGTTGTCTCCCTCTTTTCTTGATGGTTTCTTTTGTTTTGCAGAAGCTCTTCAGTTTGATAAGGTCCTACTTGTCTACCTTATTTCTTATGGTATGGGCACTTAGGGTTTTGATCAGGAATTGGTTGCCAGTTCCAAGTTCCATAAAGGTGTCACCTGCATTTTCTGAGATTCTTATAGTTTGAGGTTTTACATTTAGGTTTGATACATTTAGAGTTAATTTTTGTGTATGGTGATAGGTAGGGGTCCTGTTTCAATCTTCTGCATGTGATCAGCCAGTTTTCCCAGCACCATTTACTGAATAGGTTCTCCTCTCCTCAGTGGCTGTTGTTGGAGGCTTTGTCAAAGATGAGTTGGTTGAGAAATTGAGGCTTTGCTTCTAGAATCTCCATCCTGTTCCATTGGTCTATATGCCTGTTCTTGTCCCAATACCAGGCTGTTTTGATTACTGTAGCCTTATAATAAAGTTTAAAGTCTGGAAGTGTGATACCTCCTGCTTTGTTTCTTTTGCTAAGGATTGTTTTGGCAATTCATGGTCATTTATGTTTCCATAGAAATTTCTATATTGTTATTTCCAGATCTGAGAAGAATGATGTTGGAAATTTAATGCATATTGCACTGAATCTGTAGATTGCCTTTGGTAGGGTGGATATCTTAACAATGTTGATTCTTTGTATCCGTGAACATGGAATAATTTTCCATTTGTTTGTGTCTTGTTGGATTTCTTTGAGCAGTGTTTTATAGTTCTCATTGTAAAGGTCTTTCAACTTCTCTGATTAGGAAGATTTCTTTTTTTTTTTTTTTTTTTTGCCAATTTGTAAATAGTTTTATTTAAGACATTGCATTTTCCACTTACAATACAGTGCTTATAAAGTGCAATGTTATTTCCTTCCCTTGTGCACATGTTCCATATTCAAGTATTAAGAATGCCCAGTAATTTACTATAGCAGCTCAACTTTAAAAACTGCCACAGAATTTGCTACTAATTTGGGTCCTTCAATGTTAACTGTGTAGAACAATGCTACATCTACAGTTGGGCTGCCTTAATCAACCTCTTCGATAGTGGGCCCTGAGGAAGCACCACCAGAGGGAGGAGCTCCACCACCAGGGAATCCCCCAGGCATTCCTCCTGGCATGCCTCCTGCACTCTGGTACAGCTTGGTAATGATGGGATTGCAGACTTTCTCCAGCTCTTTCTGCTGGTGTTCAAATTCCTCCTTCTCTGCAGTCTGAAAGAGAAAAAAAATCTTGTTACTTCTAAATTCTCACAAGCTATAAAATTGTATCACAGGCACATTTAAATTTTAAGCCATTCCTTGAAACCTTAGGTCACTCAGACATCCAAGGAAGGTAGTTGCCAACATGTCTTGATTTCTGGTGGAAACCGCGAATGTGTTGGACCATTCATCACAGTGACCTAAACTCAAGCTCAAGTTTTTCTCATCTCCCTTTCCCAGCTGTGTAGTAGACATTACATACCTGATTCTTATCAAGCCAGCTGATAATTTCATTACACTTGTCAAGAATCTTCTGTTTGTCCTCATCATTGATCTTGCCTTGAAGTTTCTCATCTTCAACAGTTGCCTTCATGTTAAAGGCATAGGATTCAAGTGAATTCTTGGATGACACTTTGTCCCTCTGCTTCTCATCTTCAGCTTTGTACTTTTCAGCCTCCTGGACCATACGCTCAATGTCTTCCTTGCTCAAACGACCTGTGAGAAAAATTTAAGACCTTAAAAAAGACCCAAATGTCTATCGCCTACAACCTACACCCCAGATTGTTGGGCTATATGCTGTTTTAGGCAACAGAAACCAAACTGGGAACCTAACCATTATAATCCCTGCCAAGGTCACATGGCAGTGCTATGTGTGCCACTTACCCTTGTCATTAGTGATAGTGATTTTATTCTCTTTTCCTGTACTCTTATCCACGGCAGAGACGTTGAGAATGCCATTGGCATCAATATCAAAAGTGACTTCAATTTGAGGAACACCACGGGGTGCAGGAGGTATGCCTGTGAGTTCAAACTTCCCAAGCAGATTGTTATCCTTGGTCATGGCACGCTCACCCTCATAAACCTTGGTAATAAATAGAGTAAGTTACCAAAAAGTACTTAAAATTTGTGCTAATTTCAGTAAAATTCAGCTAGGGAAGACTGGTCGCTCAGACATCCAAGGAAGGAACTAGCCAACATAAGACTTCTGGTGGAAACTACGAATGGTTTTGGAGTCCATCATCATAGCGGGTTGTCAAGACTTCCCCACTATTTCCCTCAGTAAGCCAGGCAGAAAATATAGGAACATACCTGAATAAGCACGCCAGGCTGGTTGTCAGAGTAGGTAGTGAAAGTCTGTGTCTGCTTGGTAGGAATGGTAGTATTGCGCTTAATGAGGACAGTCATGACTCCACCAGCAGTTTCAATGCCAAGGGAAAGAGGAGTGACATCCAACAGCAGCAAATCTTGCACATTTTCAGATTTGTCTCCAGATAAGATGGCTGCCTGGACAGCTGGTTTTAAAAAGCATTAAAAGTTAAACCAATGTAACTTAAATTATGTAACTCATTAAGAAATTGAAGTCATTTTATAAGACATCAAAGGAAGCTGGACCATCATTAGCTATTAGTGTTAACTGAATATTTTTAAATTACTGAATCAGTTTGGGTCTGTTGGGTTTACTCAGGTGAGATATTGGGTTAACTACTCAAGTGAGATAGAAAATATTACCTGCACCATAAGCAACAGCCTCATCAGGATTGATGCTCTTATTCAGTTCTTTTCCATTGAAGAAGTCTTGTAGAAGCTTCTGGATCTTGGGGATACGAGTAGAACCACCAACCAGGACAATATCATGGATCTGTGACTTGTCTAGTTTGGCATCTCGGAGGGCTTTCTCTACAGGGTCCAGGGTGCCACGGAACAGGTCAGCATTCAATTCTTCAAATCGGGCACGGGTAATGGAAGTATAAAAGTCGATTCCCTCATAGAGAGAATCGATCTCAATACTGGCCTGGGTACTGGAAGAGAGAGTACGCTTAGCACGTTCACAAGCAGTACGGAGACGCCGGACAGCTCTCTTGTTCTCACTGATGTCCTTCTTATGCTTACGTCTAAACTCAGCAATGAAATGGTTGACCATTCGGTTGTCAAAGTCTTCTCCACCTAAGTGGGTGTCTCCAGCCGTAGACTTGACTTCGAAGATTCCATCCTCAATAGTGAGGATTGACACATCAAAAGTGCCACCTCCTAGGTCAAAGATCAGCACATTTCTTTCAGCTCCAACCTGCCAGTAACAATAGTAAGTCTCATAAGCCTCTGATGGCTCAAATCTTGGACGAACACAGAATTCATTACAAATGGCACATACCTTTTTGTCTAAGCCATAAGCAATTGCAGCAGCCGTTGGCTCATTGATAATTCTAAGTACATTGAGGCCAGCAATAGTTCCAGCATCTTTGGTAGCCTGCCGCTGAGAGTCATTAAAGTAAGCCGGCACTGTGACCACAGCATTGGTAACAGTCTAGGAACAGAAAACAAAGACCATATTAATACTGAACTATTTTACTTTAATATGCATCCTGATTCCAGCAGCAAGTAATTCATGTGGAAATAAGCTGGCTGAAAGCCCCAGGCTGTTAAATTACTTGTGTAATTTATCAGTCAAAAATAAGGTACAAAAAAAAAAAAATAAGGTACAGCAGGCAATCGTTATCTCACCTTCCCAAGATAGGCCTCAGCAATTTCCTTCATCTTTGTCAGAACCATAGATGACACCTCCTCTGGATAGAAGCTTTTTGTCTCTCCCTTGTATTCTACTTGTACCTTGGGCCTGCCTGCATCATTCACAACCATGAACGGCCAATGCTTCATATCAGACTGGACAACAGCATCATCAAATCTGCGTCCAATCAGACGTTTGGCATCTGTAAAGGATGTGAAATGCAAATACCTTCAATTTTGCTATATTCAATTTTTCCTATAAGAACCCAAAATGGCTAGTTACCCAAATTCATAATGGCAGGTTGATCCTGCTACAGTAGAGGATCAAAACATCACCCAATGTTTCATCCAAGACCTTAGACTACAACACACCTCTCAACACAAGTTAGTTTTTTAAGACCTTTCCCCTAACTCCTCAGGGCTGTCTCGGCTGCCCCACTTTTAACAAATGAGTTGCTCAAATTTCCTGCTTCCTAACACCCTCAGATTAATGCCAGTCGCTTGAATTTACTGACTCACCGAAAACCGTGTTGGTGGGGTTCATCGCAACTTGATTCTTTGCGGCATCGCCGATCAATCGTTCGGTATCAGTAAAGGCGACGTAACTCGGAGTGGTTCGGTTTCCCTGATCATTGGCAATTATCTCTACTTTTCCGTGTTGGAAAACACCCACACAGGAGTAGGTGGTGCCGAGATCAATACCAACTGCAGGCCCCTTAGACATGGTTGCTGAAGAGGAAATAAAAGCCGGTAGTTTGAAAAGCTGACTAAGCACTCGGACATCTCTGCCCATTTCCTCTGCAGACCTTAGAATCCGGCTGCAGAAGTAAGTTACGCCTAGAGCCTCTCTGGTAAGCGTGAGGGACAATCACAGCCAAGTACCGCCGTATCCCGGGATGGGGAGATGGAGTAAGCCGCCAGCTGCAAGACGCGTCGGTCCCGAGACACTGAGGAGCACGTGGCCTCAACCCCGAGCTCAGCCCTATCCTCTACACGCCAGAACCCAACGCTTCTAGAGTCCATGCGGCTTTTCTAACTCCCCCCAGACGCACCCCTCAACGTGGATGAACTGCAAGAATGGCATTTCCTTCAACGCAAGCGGCCTAGGGAGAGCCAGGGAAACGCGCTGGCTCACGCCCCTGCGCGCCCACGAGCGGATGCGCCAACCCTCCCCCGCCACGCGGTCGCGGGGCGACGCCCTACCATTCTTGGCGGCCGCCAGACCACACGCGACCCTTCCGTCGGGGATGACCCAGCCGAGGGCCGGTGCCCGCGACCCGAGAGAATGAAGGCGGCTAGCCGGGCGGAAGGAACCTGGCTACTGCCCTCGGGGAAAACAGGACCCACCGGCTGCGGCAAAGCCACTCGCCCCAGATGCAAGTGCGCGCTTCCCTCTCCACTGTCAGCTACTTAAAGGCCACAGGCCTTACCTCGTGTGTAGGCCCGAGCCGGGTTAAGAAGCACACGCACAAATCCCGGGAGTCGGCGCCGCGTTCAATGAGACCGGTTTCCGCCCGCCACCCTGTCTCTTATACCCTGCCTCAGAACCTTCCAGAAGGGGCCCGCCCCTGCTGGCTGCCCATCATGGCTTCTTCCACCAATGGGCGCCTGGCTATCTTTACAAACCCCAATGAGGAGCCCGTTTCCACTCTTCGGGCCTCGCCCCCTCCCGCCCCCGTCTCACCCCGCCTCGCGATGACGCACTCACCGCAGCGTTCTGGAACTTTCATGCTCGCCCCCGCTACCTGACCGGCCCCAGGGGAAAGGGAGGGTAGGGCAGAGAGAGCCCGCGCGCGGGAGTCCTCAGACACCCCGGCGGGGGAGGGGAGCGTCCCTCTCTACGCATGCGCCTCCAGCCGGCCCAGGCGGGAGGGGGCGGGAAAATGAGAAAGAGGGGCGGGCAAACTTGGAACCGGCCAATGACAGCAGCGCTAGCCGCGATCTTGACCAATGCGGAACCGGGTGGAGGAACAGCGTGGGGCCTATGAAGGGAGGGGTCCGGGCCCGGGAGTCCGGGAGCCCAGGAAGAGAAGACGGAAGTGGAGCGAGGACAAAATGGCCGCGAAGGTTGTTGCGCCCCTCCCCCACCTGAGATCTCATTCCTCTTTCTCCCCCGCCACCGGCTGTCCTAGACGGTCCTGTAAGCCCCGTCCCCCACGTTCCGCTCCCCCACATTTCATAGCTAGCGTGATTTGGGGCAAGTGCTGAGCCCGAGGGCCTTAGGCTAAGGTTCTGGCCTCGGGGGGCTGCTAGGGAAATTCGTTCAAGGACACTCCTACATGGGGTTGGAGGGAGCCGCCAGGCCGCCGGGGGGTCTCGCCTTCGCTTCTGCATGGGGTAGGGCAGTGTAGCCGCAGGCCCCAGCCCCTCCAGTTTGCTCTGGCAGCGCTTGGTCGGCAATCCCTGGCGCAGAGATTTGAGGGGCTGGACTTCTGAGAGCCCGCCTCAGGACACGGTTTTGTCTGGGTCCTCCGCGAAGACCCCAAAAAAAAAAGGCCAAGCCCGCTTCTCTTCTCTGAGCCCAGACCCCTGCCCTTCCTCCCCTCGCGCCGGGAACGGATTCGGCTTCTGGGCTCAGCCCCTCCCCCACCCGCCCAAGCCCCCACACTTCTCCGTTATTTGTAAAAGACACTGATTAAAAAGGTGGCGAGTTTTTCCGTAGGTGAACCAGGCGTTGGGAATGCGAGACTCCAGTAGCCCTGCGTCCTTGATTGGCCCTTTCTGGGCTTCGTTTCCAGTATTATGAAGTAAAAACTTTCCGGCCTTGACTTATCAAGAGTTGACAGCCCACGGAAAGACGCCTTGAAAACGCGCTTGGGCTAGCGTACAAAACAGTGGTGCATGGCGGCAGCGTCATTCAAAGAGCCTGTCTCAGTACCTTGAACCCTTTCCATGTGTCCTTTCAAAAGGGCAGGGCGGCTGTCATTCCTGTTTAGTCGATAAGTAGGTGAAAAGGTTTTTTTAAGGCGACCCTAAAGGAACTTTTAGTAGCGGCGCTGGAATTAGGTCTCCAGACTGTGCAAAGAAGGCTGACCTAGCGTGAGGACACCTTGTCCTTGACAAAGCCAGTGAAGCCTTGAAAAAGACCGAAGCATATGAAGAAATTAATTTTTGTATTTACCTTTTGTGGGAGAATGTTGGCTTGGAGTCCATTGAGCAATATACTTAGTTTCTCCTCATCTCCCAAGAGCTTAATTTTATACAGTGGTTTTACAACATACTAAGTGCTTTCATTTGTTATTTAATCAACAAAACAATTGCCTAAGATAGAGTTATTTATTCTCCTTTTAGGAGAAAAATGAGACTCAGAGATGTTATTTGTGGGAAGATAAACAACGGGCTAAGCCAGAGTCAAACCCAGCTGCTTTGAGTCCAAATTCTTTGGTCATTTTTATTAAAGTAGTTTCCTTTCTTAGAAACACACTTAACTCCAGCTCCAGAAGGGGGAAGATGTGTACTGTGAGCCACTCCTTTCAATTTCCTTTGATATTTGCAGTCTTCCTTTTCACGCTCCAGAGCCTAAAGTTTAACAAGTACATTCTTTAAACTGCACTCTGCATTTTACATTTTTGTAATCTCTGAACAATGTACAACATTCTAATCATTGAATCAGTGGTAGATAGAACTGGGACCCCAAATCCACTGACTTAGGGTATTGTATTCAATAGCAATGATTAAAGAAAGCAGAACAAATAACCTCTATTTCTAGACATTCTCAAAATGTGTTCTAGAACTTGAAACCTGTTTTTACTAAGTGGAATGATTTAGAGTATATATATTTAAAGCTCAGATATGGTAAGTGTCCTCTCTATTTTCTTTTTTTGAGTTGGAGTCTCAGTCTGACCCCAGACTGGAGTGCATGCTCACACCTACCACAACATCGACCTGCAGAGCTCAGGTGATTCTTGCACCTCAGTCTTTCAAATAGCTGGAATTACAGACATGCACCACCATGCAGGACTAGTTTTTTTATTTATTGTGATGGTCTCAAACCTTTGGGCTCAGGCAGTCCTTTTGCCTCTGCCTCCCAGAGTGCTGGGATTACATGCATGGGTTTCAAACAAAACATATATCTGAGATTAAACTTTGGGTGCAGGAGACTACAGTGGAGGAGTCTGGAGTCTAGGGCTTATGTTTGGGGAATAGAATAATGATTTTACATTTAATTCTCACCACAAATCTAAGAGGTTAGCAGCTATTATGATCTGCATTTTACAAATGAGATAGCTAAGGCACTGAAAGGTTAAATGATTAAGTCAGGCCACATAGTCATATTGTGGAACCTGGAATTCAAATTCAGTCTGTCTGCAGTGTCTGTCCTCTTAATATATCGGCTTTCGCTGTTCACGGTGGCTCATACCTGTAATCCTTGCACTTTGAGAGGCGGGGCAAGAGGATTGTCTGAGCCAAAGGGTCAAGACCAGCCTGGACATCTTGGGGAGACCTTGTCTCTACAATAAATGAAAAATTAGCTGGGTGTGGTAGCACACACCTGTAGTTCCACCTAGTTGGAAGGCTGAAGTGGAAGTATTGCAAGTTGAGGCTGTGGTGGCCGTGAGCGTGCCACTGCACTCCAGCCTAGGCAACTGAGTGAGACTGACTCAAAAAAATATACACACGCGTGCGCGCACATACACACATATATATCTGCTTTCTGTTCTCTAAAATGCTCAACAGTGGTGCAAAGAAGGAATCACATTAAAATGAAGATTAGATTGGTTTCTAGCTGTATCACTATTGGTGATTCTTGAAATAAGAGTGTTAGGATACTGTGTTTTTTTTGTTATTGTTGCTGTTTTTAATTAGGGTCTCACTCTGTTGCCCAGGCTGAAGTTCAGTGGCATGCTCACGGCCACCGAAGCCTCGACCTGCTGGGCTTAAGCGATCCTTCCACCTCAGCCTTCCAAGCAGCTGAAACTACAGACGCAGGCCACCATGCCTGACTCATTTTTGTGATTTATTGTAGAGACACGGTCTCGCCAAGTTGCCCAGGCTGGTCTTGAACCTGCGGACTCCCAAAGTGCTAGGATTACAGGCTGAGCCACTGCGCCCGGCCTAGGGTACTGTTAGTTGAAGAAACTTCTAAATAGATTATTTGAGCTGCTGTAATTCATTAGGCAATATGCATGTGCCAAATTAATCAGCCTAGGGTAGACAGCCCTTTTACTTTTTTCTTTCAAAAAAGTTTAAGGTTTAGAATTTAATTGGAAAATTTGTATTAGGATTATGTAGTGTGATGTTACCAAATAATGAGCTTTTAAAAATTACTCGCTGGGCACGGTGGTTCACACCTATAATCCCAGCACTTTGGAAGGCTGAGGTGACAAGATTGCCTAAGCCCATGGGTTCGAGAACAGCCTGGGCAACTTGGCGAGAGCTCGTTTCTCTAATAAATTTTTAAAAATTAGCAGGGCGTGGTAGCATGCGCCTGTAGTTCCAGCTACTTGGAAGGCTGAGGTGGAAGGATTGCCTGAGCCCAGCGGGTTGATGCTGGGGTGACCATGAGTGTGCCATTGCACTCCAACCTGGGCGACGGAGTGAGACTCCAACTCAAAAAAGTAAAATAAAATAAATAATAAAAAAATAAAAATTACTCTTTTATTAAAGAAGAATGGTGAACTTGACTTTCTTACTTCAGAACCTCAGATATTAGCTGGGCACTGTGCCTCACGCCTTAATCCCAGAACCTTGGGAGGCGAAGGCCAGAAAACTGCCTGAGTCCAGGGGTCTGAGACCAGCCTACACAACATGGGGAGACCTTGTCTCTACAGCAAATTAAAAAATTAGCTGGGTGTGGTGACACATGCCTGTAGTTCCAGCTACTTAGAAGGCTGAAGCGGAAGGATTACCTGAATACAATAGGTTGAGGCTGCGGTGGCTGTGAGTGTGCCATTGCACTCCAGCCTGGGTGACAGAGTGAAACTCCAACTCAAAAAAAAAAAAAAAAATTAAAACCTCATTTTAAAAACAACCTTTCTTGGACCCAATTAATTCAAACTCAAAAAGCCAATGTATATGTAAATATATGTCCTGATGGCCCAAAATCTTGAGTGTATGTACTGCATTGCATCAAGGAAATTTGAAATCAGAATGACTCAAGCTGTTATTAATATTTTGACTTTCTAACTCCAGCCATGTGTAGATTATTGCAGTTGGGAAAAAACATACATAAAAATGATCCCAGAATCTTTTTCCTGCATTATGTCTTGTTTTCCTAATAAGATTGTATGCTGCAGAACATCCTTATGCCTAGTGTAGTGTGTTACTGGTAGTACAGTCGTTGCTATTGCTGTTTTATTAAATGCTTTTGTGCAGGGTAACCTCAGCCTTGGCATATCTTATGTGACCCTTACGACAACTATTTTAAGCATATCTTCTTGTCTCCATTTTCACATAAGGAAACTGAGGCTCATATCAAATAACTTAGGATTTCTAGCTGAGCCTGAATTTTTCTTTTCTTTTCTTTTTTTGAGTTGGAGTCTCACTCTGTCGCCCAGACTGGAGTGCAGTGGCTGCTCCCGGCCACCGCAGCCTCGACCTGCTGGGCTCCGGCCACCCTTCCGCCTCAGCCTTCCAAGTAGCTGGAACTACAGGTGCGCACTACCACACCCAGCTAATTTTTTAAAATTTATTGTAGAGATGAGGTCTCACCAAGTTGCCCAGGTGGGTCTCGAACCCACGGACTTAGGCAGTCCACTCACCTCAGCCTCTCAAGGCGCAGGGTTACAGGCTGAGCCACCGAGCCCAGCTGAGCCTGAATTTTTCAAAATAAAATGTTTCATTCCATAGCTTATGCTGTTAAATTTTAGGCTAGGTTGCTTTCTACTTTAAAACTCTTTAAAAGCCGGGCTCAGTGGCTCAGCCTGTAATCCCGTGTCTTGGGAGCCTGAGGTGAGTGAATTGCCTGAGCCCGCGGGTTCGAGACCCACCTGGGCAACTTGGTGAGCCCTCATCTCTACAACAAATCAAAAAATTAGCCAGGTGTGGTAGTGTGCGCCTGTAGTTCCAGCTACTTGGAAGGCTGAGGCAGAAGGATTGC